GCAGGTCGTGGTAGGACTGGAACAGTTTGAGCTGCTAGATAGGCAGCGCGTATTCTGGAGACATGAGGACATGTTGTCTTGTTGGAACATTTCCAATAGTCATACTTCTTGTTTTACGATGTCCATTCTCTTGTTGCAACAACAAGCACTTTCTCAACTGTTTCATGAAAAAATAAAATTATATGTTGGGCTTATTTATGCATTCAGTCTTTTTGGAAGAAGACATACGAGGTGTGTCAGAAAAGTTTCAGGACTGGTGTCACAAAAGATATATTTCAAATCCAAACTACAAGTTTCCCCGTTCCAAGTAATCCCCCCTGGAGTCTAACACACTTCCCCAGCCTTCTCTTCACGCCGCCATGCACTCCTGGAAGGATTCTTCTGGATCCTCTGCAGCTCCGTCGTCACAACCATCTTGATGTCGTTCACGTCTTCTAAATGGGTTCCCTTGATGACCCCCTTGAGCTTGGGGAAGAGGAAACAATCCCACGTGGCCAGGTGGGGTGAGTAGGGAGGTTGCTCCAGCACGGAGATGTTCTTCTCAGCCAGGAACTGTGGGATGCTCAGGGCATTGTGAGCAGGAGCGTTGTCATGGTGAAGCAGCCACCACTTGTCCTGCTACAACTCTCACCTCTTCTGGTGCACTGAACGAAGCAAACTCTGCAGGATCTCTTTGTAGATGTGCTGGTTGATCATCTGAAGGGTAAAACTCCTAGTTTGTAGTTTGAAATATATCTTTGTGACACCAGTCCTAGAACTTTTCTGACACACCTCGTATGATGCATGGTTTTCTGTGCACAATGGATTGTTAGAATTACTTAGATGATTAATTTAGTTCTATTTTCTAAGAAAATCCTCCAGATGGACTCTGAAGTGTTGAAGTGTGACTCTGAAAAGAATAAACTTCTTATCTAAAATGTTAATATATATAATATCTAACAGATAATCACAGCACTAATGCATCCAGTGGCATTAATGTTTTGGTTTTAGGCCCAACATTTCTGCACAAAAGTAAAGCTGCAACTTTAAAGTTAGCAGTAAGTTTGTCTCTTATTGAAGCAGTAAGCGCATCTGCAGCTGGCACACACACAAAAAAAGTGGAAACGTCAAAAAAAAAACTTTGTGGAACGTAGAGAGTTCTGGTAGTTAATGTCACGCAATCCCAGCTTTTATCAGTCAAATCAAAGCGCTGCCATATTAGCAGTGATGGCAGCGACGTTGCTCTCACTGTGCTAACAACCACTATGCTGTGATATACCCTGAAGAACATGTGGCACATTGCTGCAGATATCACCACCTCCTTGGTGATGGAGTAATTGATAGAGAAATAGTTGTTATTGGCAGCCCTGCATTTTGCTAATATGTCAATCATGCCAGCAAAGACGTTCCACGAGCATCTGGCACGCCAACCGTCAGACATTAACACAGCGCGTACATGTGAGTCCTGCCAAACAGAAACACTGGATTATAGTAAAGAAAATCACCACATACAGTCAGTAAATAACTACTGAATGTAAACACGTGTCTATAAATGTCATTTGATTCGGCAGCAAACACATCATCACTGTAATCACATTATGATTGGTTCATACAGAAAATAATCAACAATGAAAATAATCTTCAACAAGATTGAAGAAAAAAGTTTCATTTTAAATCCAGATAGAGAAGTTTATGAATGAATTCTGAGTTTTAGCTCTGATTTGGTCGCCTCCAGCAGCTCTGGGACGACGACTTGTAGCTGCAGCGACTGAATGAATCAACAGAGCTGCAGAGATTCATCGATTTATGGTCAATTATTAAATGAATCTCCAACTATTCTGATAACTGACTAATCGGTGTTAGGATTTTTTTTAAAGTTAAAAATTCTAAATTCTGTGATTTCAGCTTCTTGGAGTGAATGTTTTTCTTTCCTATGTGATAGTGTTGCATTTAAAAATCTATACCTACAAATTTGCTGATTAGACACAAGATCTACATGTGTGGGAAACCACCCAGAATTCAACTTCCAAATAAAAATGTTCATTGAGGATGCTCACCAAACTCAACCCAAACCTATTAATGCCCCACAGTCATATTAGATTGAACTGAAGCCAAAGCCTTTGTGAAATCAGAGCTCATTAGACGAGTCCACCTCATAATGAGTAGCCAGATCCATCAGGAGAGATAAAGCTCCTGCTCTGCGCCGACTGAGATCCCGTTGAACACACCCGCAGCGCTTCAGACCACATGTGAACAAGATATTTGCTTTGAAGCACCAACACACAGATTTGAACCGGTGTGTCAGAGTGCCAAATGTCCTAGGTTGTGAGTGACAGGGGATCTGCTTTAGAGTTGGCTACCTGTTGAGGAGGATTAAACAAAATACAGATGGTGTTTACATATTAAACAAACAAAGGCGAGCTCTGTTCTGATGGTGACAGAAAAATGCTTTCATCGAGTGAGGTCTTTGTTACAAGTAGAAAACAATAGATTTGTTGTTGTGACACATCGATTCCGTACCTTTTCACAAGAGTTCCCGCACGTGTTCCTCGTGAACGCAGAGCATCTGGCCGCAGACAGAATGTCCTGGATGATGTTTTTCTGGCCTGCGATAGAACCACGCGTGACCCTGAGATCACCTCTGAAGGACGAAGGCTGCCGAGTGTCCGGCCGTGTACTCTGGCCGTCAACACAACAGGAGCGCGGCGCGGTCTGATCCACCGCGGGTCGAGTTGAATAAATTAAATGAATTACCAGCTGCCTTGTGCAAGCTCGCAGGATGCAGGGTGGCATGAGTACGCCATTACAACAATGATAAGGATATCTGCACGGCCTTGTGTTAAAGGAATTACACATAGCATCCAGGGCCTTTAAGAGAGTCTGACAGTTTTGCGCACACTGGCAAGTTAGTGTGACATGAAAATGTGTGTGGCTGCAGAACGGTTCGGCTGCTGCTTGGCCTGAGTCGGGGGGCACCGAGCGGTTGCTGAGGAGTCCAAAAAAAGAAAAAAAAAAAAAGGAGTCTTATTGTGATGCAAATGGACACAGTATTGTGCTTAAACAATGCATTAATATGTCCCCTTTGAGAAGATAACATCACAAGATGCACAATAACACAAAACGATGTCCTGCGAGGTTATTTAAAGCGATACGACATCAAACCCTGACAGTGCAAGAAGAGCTTACTGCCTGTCCGAGCCGTTTTGTCTCCGGCGTTGATAAAAACAGATGAAGGATAGAAGGCTGCTTTTGAGTCCTGGCCCCTGTATGGGAGAGTCCATTTACATAATATTATGTATATTGTATTCGGCTCATCCTAATGTTTGAATGTAAACTGAATTTAAGTCTTCACGCGCAAACAGTGGAAGAAGTGTTAAACGCAAGACACGTGGCAAGGTGTCCGATAACTTTGTCTTCTGCCTGTAATCTGATGCTGTGCGGAGAGGAGGGATCGGCCTCACTTCCCCCGGGGTGATTTATGATTGAGGACATGTTAATAAAAATATCAAAACAATCTGAGCTCTGCTGGGGAAGATACCGGTCCGCTACGTACATCATGCTCGACAGGCCCGTGCAGGGAATCGGCTACTCGGTGATATTATGCCTGTATGGATGCCCCGCTGCCCTGCTCCCGAATAGAATATGCAGCTGTTTTTTTTATTTGGAGGGTCGGTGGGGGTAGAACTATTCACACAAGGTGACATTTGCTTGAACGTGCGCTTCCTGTGTCCTTAAAATCCTATGCCAACTCTCATATGTAGCCATCAATCCGTCGGAAAGAGTTAAAAGTCATTAAATTTTGAGCTACAAGGGTCGGCTGCCCTTTTAAAAGAGCACAGTGTGCTATCATATGACACGATGGGTGTGAGAGTGAGGAACACGCTGCTTTTACTGAGTAAACACCCGATTTAAATCTGCTCATACGAAAGGATGCACATCTGAACTCAGTGGAGAGACATGTTCCAAATTGTTCATTAAATTTCAACAATGACTGAATGAAAAGACGTAACCACCGCCGCCGCTGCCGCCGCCGCCACTCTCACCTCTGACGGATTTATATCGAGCATGGGCGTGGACGCGCTGTAATTTAGTAAGTGTTAAAAGCTGCTGCAGAGACTGTAACACACACTCAGCTCCACTTCCAACATCACTGTTCCTGAAATCTCAATGATTTTCTGTCCCTGCCTGAACACAAAATCATCCCGACGCACAATGTCAGAAAGAAACTGCTCTGAAATCAGCTCCAAACATACACGAGGGCTGTTGTCGGGGAGCACGCGGCGTGCTGATGCTGTTAAAGTGTTACGCTGTCGGTCTTGAGACGAACCTCGCTGAAATGAACGTAATAGGTGTCGTGCATATGTTGTCAGGTGCTTTTAATACAGCAGGCTGTTCATTTCACTGACCTCAACATGCAGCTTCTGTGATGTGAGGAAGTAAAACGTGGACGTCATTTTCTTACACAAATGTCTCCAGTGCTTGGAAACAGCCCTTCACAACTCTTTATAAATGTAAGCATTTGTGTTTCTTAGAGGTCCGTGTAGAATTAAGTTGTTATCCTGTTTTGTTTTTTGTCCTTATCGAGCATCAGTAAATCAAGACTGTCAGATGTCACGGGCACATCGCCAAACAGGAACGCAGCTGAAGACATTTGCCACAAAGGCCACGTTTCAAACGGAGGGATTGAAAAATCCTCTGAGTTTGAGATCAACCCAGCTGAAGGACGCAACGCTGCTGTTTGTGCGTTCGTAAAAGAGCGCTGGATCAGCAGAAGCATTAACGTGCATTCAGACAAGTAGAGCTTTTCAAATTAAATGTTAAATAAAAAATTGGTAGAAGCTCGAAGGATAATTCTGGTTTTACTTTCAGCTTTCATCCCCATCGTCATCCTAAAGACACTGCAGGGTCTAAATCTTGATATTTAAACTTGTTAACTGGCTCAAAGGCTGCTGTTTTAAATGGGCTCTATAGACAACGGTGACTTCAAGTCCACCTCAAAAAAAAAATCAAGTTTGAACAAATGAGAACAAACATGCAATGTATTTTTTAGTAATTCAAACGAAAGCCAAACAGAATAACTGTAAACTACTACAGAACTTTCACCGGCAGTTTATAAGTTTGGGCACATTATCAGCGTTACACCAGAAAAGATCCAAACGGTTCAAGTCTTAGAGTATTCAGCTCTTTAAAAATGACTTGCTCTCCTACAACATGAGCCCAATTACTCTACAACGAATAATTACATCCAAGTCCAGCCATCTGATGAACATTCCTGTATATTTTTATTTTGCAGAAAAACTACAAATTCTAATGTCAGTTTTTTCGTTTCAACAATATAAAGTCATATTATGCCATTGGTGTGTTCAAAGGTTGGTGCATCCTCCATCCAAAGAAACAAACTACTAATACTGCTTTCACTGTAAACAAAAAGTTCATTTTGTAAACTATACAACTGCCAGCTAACATTCTGCAGATTTACTATGATTGATTGCTGGTGTTTTATACAGTATTCCTGTCTATTGTCTGCCGGCCACTAAGCTGCCCGTTTGACCAGTGATGAACACTGACAATAATGAACCAGAGCATAATGCCGTAATGTGTTGATGGCGGTGGCATGCTCATACTATGGGCAGCTGTAGCTCAGGTGGTAGAGTAGGTAGGCCATTAATCAGAGGAGCGGCGGCCCATTCCCTGGCTCCTCTTGTTCACACAACTAAGTGTCCTTGAGTAAGACACTCCGCCCAAACCATTCCCAGTGTGTGGATATGGGGAAATATCTCTTGAACAAAAGTGTCTCCTAAACAAATGTAATGTGAAAAACAAACAAACACCAAAAAAAAAAGAACACCATAGTCACGTCTGAGACTTGAAGAAAGCTGCTGTTACACAGGAAATTAAGGACAGAAGAAGAGACTTGCCGGGATTCAGAGAAGCATTTGTCTTGCAGGATGGTCTTGTAACCTTTCGGTCTGCCATTTGCGGCGATGCCCTGTCGGTGAGTATAGATGTAAGAGAGCCCACTGGAGGTGTGCCCTCCCCACGTGCCCACCTGCCTCTCTTACCGCAGTCTGCTGTGCCATGTGGAGCCCCAGATGTAGCCTGCAGAATAATCCACACTCGTACACTCATGAAAGTGTCCATCTGGCCCCACACGCACACATTAAGCCCCGGAACCATACAGGCATGGGGACACTGTTGTTGTGGCATTTAACAGATACAGCAGTGTGAGATAGCGCCATACTTCTTCTATTCTGTCCGCAGAAAGGCCCGAACTGAGGTGGTGCACAGCTGAGAGTCACTTGGCTGTGACCGAGAGGTGAAACGGAGAGGGACTGAGCAGGATAAGCCTGCAGAGCTCACTGCTAGCAGAGCACAGCAGAGTGAGGTGGATCTTTTTACATTAGCTGTGCCTCAGGCACATGCAGATAACGGCAAAGCTCCTGCCTGGCAGGAGAGACACCAACACTACAGCCCTGAATCACAGCTGGCAATGTTTATCCAATCAAAATAAAAGAGGGCTTTTTTTATATTTCAAGGTTTTCATGTATTTTCTCTTGACTAAATATCGACCGACCCAAAAACCATTCAATGTAAACATCAGATAGAGGCCTGCCTCAGATTTTATTTGCTTCCATATATAAAAGCTTTAGAACAACATAGTGGTTCAATAATGGTTTACAGTAACAACGTTCACTTATTTAATGTACAAGGCAGTTTCCTATGAACTACATTTACAGAGAAGCATTTGTTTACAGCCAACATTACAGGAGAACAGTTAAAGCAGTTGTATGAGGTCTTCTGTGGCTCCGGAGGAGCTTTGTCAGGTCTGAGGAAGCAACCTGGATGATGTCTTCAGGGTTTATTCAGCATTGCCTTCATGGTATCTCGGCTCGAGTGTGCGGACGACAAATTTACATTTGAGAACCTGAGTTGTGAGCTGGGGGAGGGTCCTCACTACCATTACCACTAACTGTGGTTCCAGATCACATACTTTGTCTTTTTACTTTCAGTCAGTTCTGCAGCTGCGCCTACAAAGCACATACTGTTGCATGCACGTAGTATTCATACATATTAATGAATACTGAAATGAGTTGTCACCTGTCTATGTGCTGTCAGCAGCTCAGGCTTGTTTAGGGAGCGAGACACCGTGTTGTGTCTTCTGTTGCAGAGGATTGTGGGTCTGAATGGCTGGAAAAGCATGCTGGCTTATGTAGCGGCACATACAGAACCGTTTTCTGGTTTCCTAAATGGTATGAGAGTATGGGTACTGGATATTACCCAATATGTAAAGATGGACTATATCACAGCTTCCCAGAATAAAACCCCAAAAATGTTGATTGCCCCCTGGTGGCAGGCTGCAAGGAACGCAATAAGCCCCGCCTTCCCCATGTTAGTGGAGCTAAGCTAAAGAAACCCAAGTACATCTCAAACAATCCTTCTGACAATATGGTTTCAGTCACATCATTTATCAGAATGTTTGTTGTTTCTGATCCGTTTGTTTTAGTCAGTTCATGTGAACTAAAGGTTGTATGTGCTACCGACTGATAGCAGCTCAGTATAAGCAATCCACAAAATAAGTTGTTCTGCAGTAAACTGTACTGACATTTTGAGGGATCTGGGGACTTGAAAGCAATTTAATTAGTAAGCTGACTCTCTGAACTCCAAAACTCACCAGCAGGTGTGAAAGACATATTATCTTTTTTTTTTTTTTTTTTTTTTAATCACCAAAATGACAACCTTTATTGGACCGAAACTGTTAAAAGTTACAAAAAAAATGTTGGCGTTTAAACTTTCCGACAGTCTTTGAGCTAACCATGTGTGACTTCTGGTTCAATCAGAACAATGTACAGAATCTAAGCTTGTAATCTGAAAGTGATGTTGCATCAAAATCACTATTTTGCGCGTCTCGTTTAAAATCTTGGCAAAAAAGAAAATATTTGTACAAGGAACTCCAATGTTCTTTGGAGTACATTTTTAAAATTCTCTTTACTTCTCGCCATGGCAGTGCTGTTTCCATAGAGGTGCAGTACTATATATTGCAGAGATAAATGAGTCCAGTAGAAATTTGGCAAAAAACATCCAGAAGCTGCTTGGGCTAAATCACACAAATGAATGAATGAATCTGTGGAGCGTCCTGTGGTACCTGCAACCCGCTCATCCAACTCTAGGTGAGAACGCACCTGATTCCTCTGAAATATACAGTAAATGCTAATTCAAAGCTATTATACACGAAAACACTCTGCAGTCAACATGATGTTAATCTAACACGAGGGCTACTTGTTAACACTTTTTCTATCTGTATGATAATGGTTTATGTTTTAAGAACTAGTGTCTCTCTGGGAAGCTTTACTCTCATTTCTGAAGCAGCAGCGGGACAGACGTTGCTCTCGCCCCCGTCCTCGTCACCACTTCACGGGCTATTCAATTAGCAGAAGAAGCAAGGGAGATGGAGCCATAATGGAGCTGATGAGATGCACAAGGACAGGTGACACTAATCAGAGCGGCGCCCCATTGTCTCTGTGTGGGCATCATTAAGGAAAGAGAGTGATTTCAGGCTTTTTTTTTTTTCCCTCGCTGAGCCTGAACACACTCATGCAGGCTGCGTGCATTCTCTTCCTTATCATCAATTTGCAATACGTGTGAATATATTCACTGAACACTGAGAGTGTAAGGACTGACATGGAGGAAAACAAGAATATTTTACACCTCAAAAATAGGTTTTAAAGTGTAAAATCTCATAAATGCCACACTGATATACTGATGTGATAACCTGAATAGGTGTTAGACACATCTAATACCCAAAGGATTTACTCTCGCCTTGTGTTCTGTAAACTCCTCATGTTGGTTGTTCAGAAAAAGAAGCCGAGACATCCACTCTGCAACACATCCACTTTACTCTCCTCTCCTCCACTTGAGTGGGTGAGGCCGCCGCCGCCGCCGCCGCCGAAGCGCGACCTACCGCTGCCGAGGCGGCCTCGGACCGATCCCAGCGGCCCGGGCTGCTTCCGTCCTCCTCAAAGCCTCTGGGCCGGAGTATGAAGGAGTTCTGCTCGGCCTGCCGGTACCGACCACTGAGGTAGCTTGACAGACACCTGAGAAAACACCGCCAGAACATTAGGGAAGGTCCGACTGCTTCCTCTCACACATTTCTGTCACCAAAGTCTAATTCGCTACATTCACACTCTGGCTGACACCAAATAACTTTGTTAGTGTAATAACATAATCCTAATCTCATTATTAAGTCCCTCTCCTCCCATTAGCTGAGTCTTCAGAGTGTGTGGGAGACTCCTGCTGGATCCACAGTGCTCCTCGTCCTCCTCACATGATGTAACGTCCAGCCTTTTTTAAATCATCTGTGTACACTGATGAGCCAAAACACTGCGACCACCTCCGGCTAACACGCTGTTGTTTCTCACCAAGATTCTATTTAATCCAATTCAATTTTAGCACCTTTTCACAAAATAAGTCATGTCAGGGCACTACACACAGTCAAGGTCAAGATCCAACAAATCCAATAATTCCCTTTGAGCAAACACTTGGCGGTGGAGTGGCAGTCCTGGTATACAAGGTGTGTCAGAAAAGTTTCAGGACTGGTGTCACAAAAGACATATTTCAAATCCAAACTACAAACTACGAGTTTTCCCGTTCCAGCTAATCCTCCTGGAGTCTAACTCACTTCCCCAGCCTTCTCTTCACGCCGCCATGCACTCCTGGAAGGATCCTCTGCATCTCCATCGTCACAGTCATCTTGATGTCGTCCACGTCTTCTAAACGGGGCCCCTTGATGACCCCCTTGAGCTTGGGGAAGAGGAAACAATCCCACAGAGCCAGGTGGGGTGAGTATGGAGGTTGGTCCAGCACGGCGATGTTCTTCTCAGACAGGAACTGTGGGATGCTCAGGGCATTGTGAGCAGGCGCATTGTCATGGTGAAGCAGCCACCACTTGTCCTGCCACAACTCTCTCCTCTTCTCAAACGAAGCAAACGTCACAGGATCTCTTTGTTCCCTTGAAGGAGAAAACTGGTAGTTTATGGTTTGGGTTTGAAATACATCTTTTATGACACCAGTCCTGGAACTTTTCTGACGCACCTCGTATGCCAGTGACAAAAAATCTTTGCTGACAACTGATTACTTTACAACAAAACTGAAAGAAAAACTACACAAAAAGTAACATTTTAAGACTGAAACTATAACAAAATGTTTAGCTCTTCTCTTCAGTAAATAAAACCTAAGCCATAAAGTGTTCAAGATGAACTAATCACCGTTTGTTCTTCAGTGAGGTGCAGCGTCTGTGGAACTGCAGCTCCTGGTTAAAGCAACATGTCAGGAGAAATACAACTTTTAGAAAAACCTAAGCTAATGGAACATCATCAGGTGATGTGGATGTAACGTTAACATCACTGAGAGCGTGGTTCAGAGTTTAGAATGACAATAACTGGATTTACTGAGGAGCCTGTTATATCACCGCAAAGCAGAGGGACGTGGACACTGATCCATGGACCAGAACAACACCTGCAGCCATGAAAAACCCCAAAAAACAACAACAAAAAAACCACCTGCGGCCATGTTAACTGCAAACAAAGATAGAGACGGCAGTGGCCTCAAAGTGCCTGGCAGATAAAAACATAGAAATGAGCCTGAATGTAACTGAAGATAGGCTAGGCAACAATGATTTCAGTTCTTGTGACTAAAACTAGTAAAGATCAAATGGCTAAAGCTTGACTAAAACACTGCACTGTAAAAACAACTGTGTTTATTTCAACTAAATCAAAATCAGGTACCAAAATTGACACTGGCACAGAATGCTGAGAACTCACATGACTAACTCTTTTGTGTGGAAGAACAAATAAATCTGATGTATATATATAACTCAATTCAGCTTAGTTTGGTTCCTTGAATCCCAACAGGTGACTTTCTGTTGCAGGAACTCGGGGCAGATGCAAGGTGGTGCAAACGTTTACAGGAACAAAACCTTTATCGGCCTTTGCAGACTTTTTGTTTGTAGAATCCAATAGGTTCGACCGCGACGTTAAGTCTGAGTGCACCAAAACAACAAATAGTTTTCGCTGGACGTGACTCCAGTTCGATGAGCACGTAGGAAATGGAACAATGGAGCATTGTTGGTGCTTATTGTCTTGCAGCTGCTGCATTACTGGAAAAAGCATCTTCTAGTCTTGGGAGAGGTCTAAGTGCTTTTATGTGGTTCTTCATGTTGACGCATACTAACTATCTCAGCAATCAGTTAGTTATCATGAGGTTCATGTGACCGACGCATGAGCTAATCATGACAGCCTGACTCTGAGGTGGAGCCAACGGCCGCACGCTGTATCATTTCCTACAATCAGCAGACACTTAATATCAAGACAGACGCCTTTCAGTGCTGCGTGGAAACCTGATGGAGGACCTGAGGAATCAAGACTCATTATTTTCACCTGTAGTTCTTCAACTATATGAGTTTTCATACATTTTGATGCAACATTTTTAGGAACAAAATAATCTGCTGGACAGGAAAGGAGAAAAAAAAAGCCTCTCCCAGTAGATTGACTGAACGCATAACCCCACAGTCCACACAGTAATTGGCTTCGGAGGCAAATCAATGCCTCAGATCAGAATTGAAGCATTCTGCTTGTTTACAACATCTATCATTTGTTCTTATCAAGTGTGATCAGAGCAATTTTCCCTCCCTTAATATAGGTTTGATGGGACAAAGAAAAGCTCAATTCTCAGAGAATTGGAAAACACATTTCTTGTGCTTTGTGGTAACTAAACTGTCAACAGATAAGAGAGTCCATAGTATCAACTCGTGGGTAATTCATCTTACAATTGCGCCGCTGTGTTTTCCTTTGGAACAGCTTGGAAATATGGTTTGAGGCCTTTGCTCAAATGTCACCGCAAAACGCTTCGTCCAAATGTTCAGAATGTAAAGCGGAATCAAAGAAGTGCGCCGTGTTCTCCGTCCCCAAATCCTCTTGCGTAGTCGCCACTTAAAGGAAAAAAAGCACATTTGTAGCCATGTGTGCACTTATGTATCTGCAAAAGGGCGATGAGCTACTCGTCCTCAGGCAGCTCTGCAAACTGCTGTAGACAGTAGCGTGAGGTGAGAGAGCAGTGTAGGCCACTTTGTATCATGTCAGCGCTAGCGGTTAGACGCCATCTCCACAGTGTCCCTTGTCACCAATCACATCCTTTTAAACCACCCAGGGAGCTCGACACCCCCCTCACACACACACACACACTCACACACACACTCCCTTATCTGTCAATGCTGCTTAAATAATGTAATTAATGACTTAATTAACATTTCCATAATCTATTTTAATAAATCTAACACGGCATAATGAGAGTTTCTAACCTCCAGGCAATGGCATATAAAAATTCACAGCGCAGAGCTGCATGGTCAGGGCACTGTCTCAGCGCCGCAAACTCTCGCCGTGACAGTGAAGGAAGGAGAGGGTGCATATTGTGTGACAGCCCTCTGAAAGGCAGTTCAAGCCTGACAAATGTCATGCGACTTTGTGAATGTGTCCAATAACAGACCTGCAGCAGGAAGAAGGAGGCCAAACAAAAGATTATTTTGGAGGGTCAAAATGTTGAAAGGAAGCCGGAGCGCCACTGACTGAGGGATTAGTTGAGCGGAGTTGGTCTGTAGACTTTGAGTCAGAACAAACCATACATTCCTGAGCTCCACTGTAAACTAAAGCCTGATACACACCGATACGAACACGTTGCAAAACTAAGGGGTCCGCGATTGGTCGGCATGATTGATGATGTAGACGCTGAAAATGCATTGACAACGCTTTTTAAAAAATAAATATCAATACACCATTTTTGCGTTTCGGCATCAGCTGTTATCGGCTCCGTTCAGTGGTCAGATAGACTCGGTGCTTTTAGTGGTTTTAGACAACAGCAGCAAAGTCCAGCTCGGCTCAGTATAAAAGTTTTCAAAGACTCAATGCTTCTACAGTCTGGGAGATTTCAGATAATCACGGAACAAAACGGCGGTTTGTACGCTGTGCAGAGTTTTGGATGGCAGGACACAAACAACGTACAAACACCTGAAGAGAAAACACACAGGAGGCGCTTCTGTGTGATTCTCTCCTGCTCTCTGTGCTCACTTACAGTGTTTTTTTAAAACAGCCAAATTCCCAATTAAGTTGTTTTCATTTACATATTCTTCCATTGTCAGACAGTATGACTGAAACATGAATCATTAAGACTACATGTTAACCGGCAGTCACCTCATAGCTGCTGCTCCTGATTCTATAACTGCAGCCTCATCTGATGAAATCACAGCACAAATACATTAAACATGAGCTGTGAATTTGTCTATTTTTTAATAGAATTTAAAGCTGCCACCAAAGTCAGAGAAAAATCACACAATAGGAAGAAAAGTAGTCTCTTTTGCTGCTTGTAAAATATCCTCTGTGTCCACGTGTTTTAATACACAGACCAAACTTTTTCACTTTTTCCAGGCGTTTAATATAAATGTGGACTTTTGGATTTACATCTGTGACTTAAATAAAAAGCTCTCTTTATATCCATACATATATATCGTGGTTGCATTTCCAGTTTACGTCTGCAGTTTTACACTTTAAAATGCAAACCTTTATCACCATTTTGTACTTTGCTGCAACATGCAATGAGATACAGTTTGTTGGAATAAAATGAATTTAACTTAAACGGTCTTTTTGCTTTTTTGGAGGAAAATTAATTATTCAGATTAATTGAGTAATTTGTGAAAGAGTTGATAAATTAATTGATGGTGAAACCGTTGTTAGGTCGATGTAAAAGGACTATTTTCTTCTCCATTTGGGTCCCTCATCCACACGCAAACAGTGTTTTAGGTAATTTGACAAAGATTTTATTCAAATGGCTTCTGAAGTAAAGATTTCTTTAAAACTCTGGTCTATGTGTGTCCATGTGGATAAGTATAACGGAAAATTTGCTTTTGTAATGAGTCCGTGCCTCTCCCTTGAATCTGCAAAATCTCTGATATTCTCCATATTGTATAAAATAACAAGTTTACCAACAACCCAGCAACGTGTCTTAATACAGCGATTTCCTGTGACAGCTGTCCTCTCCAAAACTGAACCAATCAGCTTTGTCTTCACCTACTTTAACAAAGTTGTGTTGAGACCTGCATATTTTTCAGGGCTGCTCAGAGGTACCTGTGCTAAAGCAGGTACTTTATTCTCCCCCCTATAGATGTTTTACAAGGACAGTTCCTGTAGTTATGCACAAAAGTTGGTGCAGCCCTAAAAATACATGCAAGTCCCTTTTTGGGGGAAAACGACCAATGGATGGTAACGCTACAGCACCACAGATAATACACAATAACTGAAGAAGAAATCAAGGCCTTTCCTTTATATGTACACATCTTTTTTCTAAACAAAAGTCGATCTTCTTTCATGTAAAATCAAAGTAACCACAGCACTGAAAGCATCACAACTTGGAAATACTCAAGTAAAGTGCAGTACTCAAGTAAATGTACTAACTGATGCTCTCCAGTTCGAAGGAGACAAAGGCGCAAATGTAAACTCCTGTAACTCCAAGGACTCCTGTAAAGACCAATTTCCATTAAAAATGATGGTTATTCAGTTGCTTTATGGCAAACTAAGCTGTCATCTGAGGTGTTGTAGCCATGGCAACAGACAACAGGTAATAGCGACACAGAGACTTAGTCACAGGGAGGACAGCAACACACTTTCACCCCCCCGCCAACAGAATAGCATGACTGCTGTGATCACGAGCGCACAACATGGATCCAACACAGTGCAAACAATAAAAGGTCACTCTTGCTTGTTTATTTTGGTCTGTTTGGAAGACTAACAGGCCGAGTGATGGGTGAGAGATGGGGGTGGGGGAGTTGCTCCTTACAAGGGTTTCCACCCCCGGGGCCGACGTGTGACTGAGATGCACACTGACAGGGGGCAGCAGGAGGCTGGCACATCCCAGGCAGCACAAGCACCATGGGGCACGGGTCTGCGAAGACCACCAATCCTAATAACGGCACCCACCAACCTCCCCATTGTACCAGCAACAATGTAAGGATCAGTCAGCAGAGAGCCCGCTCACTGCACTTGGTGTAGCCCATTAAGATCTGAGGAATGGCTCCTCACTGAAGCTTCAAAACAACACAGATCTGTAATAATGAGTTGCTGCGAATGAAGCGTTAGCATTTTAGCTATTTGAAACTCTTTCAACTCAAACAATGCAAATACCTGCAGTCGAGATGTGCCAAGAATGCAGGCCGTCTGAAGCTGCTGAGCGTGCTGTAAACAAACCAATTTCCTGTCATAAAATTACAGCTCATTACCAGCCTGGATAAGGGCTTCAACAGCATAATGATGCAGAAGCACATTACCACTGCCACTATATTTATTAATTACCAGTTGACTAGCTACATTCCTTGCAAAGGCGGTTAATGGGGGGAAAAAAAAAAAAAGTTACAGGCTTGTTGAGTTAATTACAAACAGCCTCCCTTATTTTAGTTAAGACAAATACTGGAGGAAGGACACATGTAGAACACAAAGTTTTAATTTTGCTACTGGCACGAAGAGCAGTTTGGCATGATTGGAGGGTCACTACTGCTACCCCCCCCCCATCATATTTTACAATGAATGTTGTAAAGCAGGAGAGCTCGTCTGAATCCAGCATTCAGTTCAGTTAATGAAGCCAAGTCATTAAAACTGTGGTTTGATTTTCAAAAATACGATTAGGAGACATAATTCTAAAAAAAAAAAAAAAAAAAGATATTTATCAGAAATGCGCAGCCTGACTGAGTAACTGCTTTAGGCACTTACAGATTACATAACCTGTATTTGTAATCTGATTACAGTAGCTGCCATATGTTGCTTTCTAATCAGAGAGTAGATATTGTTTATGCCAGGAATCTAATGCATTATTTACAAGTTAGATGTTAATAAAAACAGACTGTTCATTTACTAATGGTTTACAGTACCGCAGGCATCGTTCCAATTAGCAATATCAAAATGGGAAGTGAAAACAAGAGAGGTGGGGGGCGCTGGGGGTCAGACAAAAACATGTTTTCAGAGATGATTATTTGGATGACACGGGCACTCACCGCTTCTTGTTTTGAAACTCACATAAAAATGAAATGTTACATGAAAATATTGTTTTACATATTTGGCAGACAAGAATGCAGCCGGTGTGGAGAGACTATTATTTTATTGGTTCATCACGGTGACCGCGTGTTGTAGGAAGTTCAATCCAAGGACACTTTAAAAATGTTTCAGATGTGAGGGTTGATGAAACATTTAACACTTACTTGATGAGCAGGATCTCTGTCAGGATACCAAAAGAGGCTGCTGCTATTTTAAAGGCGCTGGGAGGAGCGGGGTTGGTGAAGGCGGTCATCATGCAGTAAACAACGTAAGGCACCAGCCCCAGCAACACAAACATGGTGATCAGCACGAGCCACGTCTGCCACTGGAAGCTCACCGACCGCCACGGAGAACTCCACTGCAGCTGGTACTGGATAAGAGAGAGAAGGAAGTCTCATGACTCGACCACGCAGTCACACAGCTCGTCTAATCAGTCAACTCAGTAGTTATGAAAATGACTTGAGTAATCTAAAGACAGGAACACAATGGAAGGCGCATGCACGCTGTTGCTGTTTCCCCTCTTTTGTTTGACACCTACTGGATGGACTGTCATGAAAGCCGGTTCGGGCGTTCATTTCCCTCTGAGGATGAACTGTAATAACACAGTTTTGTGCCATCATCAGCTCAAAGGTCCCGTATTGTGCATCTTTTCATCAAATCAGCGAAAGTCTCACATGTTCACAGAATGTATGTTTTAGTTTATTAGCTTAAAATACCACAAAAATCATTTATTCAATCATGACTGTATAACCCTGGGTTTTGATTTTGTGATTGGTGCATTTATTAGACAGCATCGCAGTGTCAGTATTTCACTCTTGTTCCATTGTCTGACAACACAAATAGAAAAATAAATGTGAATGAGAACAGGTACTACACTGCAGTGTATCTGAGCACAGAGAGCAGGAGAGAAGTAAACAGATGTAAGCAGCAGTTGAATTAAGTTGCACACAACAACCCACAGTAAGTCTTTATTACTGAAGTTTCCACCATCTCTAAAAGTCCTGCAGTGTTTCCACAGAGTTCTCACCTGTGGACATACAATCAAAGCTCTTGGTAACATTAGCCACTTTAGCCACACAACACGCTAACACAAAGGATTATTCTATTGTTGTGGGGATGTTGCCATCAAAAATAAATGTAATCCACTGGGTTCTCAGGTCCTCAGAGCTGGTAGTGCATAAAGACGCTTGTGTTCACTCTTGCAGCCAGAACACTGAGTGTGCTTTGCTTGTGGTTGAGACATTTTAGAGCTCGCTGAAGCAGCTTTAAAAGGCAAATTAACATGGTGGACATAGAGGCAGCTGCTCATTCTGAGTATCTCCCATTGCAAGCAGCAAGGGGGCAGGACTATGCACATTTTTAGCTGGACGACGATTAGTTCTTTAGTTTCTATGCAGAAACTGAATGAAATTCTGACTGGCTTGTAAGGCTGGGAGGCCGAGTAGTTGAGAGGGGTCTGGAGGAATGGCAGGAGAAAGCATCTTCATCATCTCGTCTTTTTAGGACATACAAAACACACTACAATGGAGTTTCACCACATGAGACACTTAATGGTTCCTATTTTCTGAAAGCTCAATCTCATCCAGACTTGACGTGATTATTTTCTGATGTCAGTTCAGACGAATGAAGCTTCAGGTAGCTAGCTCATGTGGATAAAAGCTTAACCATAGTTAATCCCAGCAACAAAGCTCTATTTGATCAACTGTAAATGAAACCTGCTAAAATATTTGTTTTGCACAGCTATTTAGAGTTATGGACTGAGGCTATGAAGATGCTTGTGAAAATGTTAGCCAACTGTGAAAAGATCTGACCTAGTTACTATCTGACTTCTTACCTCCCACCTTTCTGAGACAAGAGTTCTGCATCCGAAACCATCACATTACAAAAGAACGCTGGCTGACACAAACTCGGGTACTGGCTGAATGATGGTTGTTTATCCTAAAAGTGGAAATACGCACTGAGCTGTGGAGCTGCAAACAAAAACAAGAACATTTTCCACTTACAGAATTGTTGTATGACTCAAGAACAGAGAGTAATAAACTCAAACTAATGCAACCTCGCACCTATTCCAAGCATCCAGTTCTTCTTACTTCAGGCTTGGCACTCGTGTATATAACAGTTAAACAGGAATAAAAGCACATATATGTACACAGGCACATACATAAAAACACTGAAAGATGCATGCAGTCATTAAGTCAGCATGCAAACACTGCTTTAAGTCCTCGCCAAATATCGCCTCACTCTGGAGACAAACCAAAACCACTTAAACAGCGTTTGATTAGTGTCTGGAATTCATCTGCAAATGCACACTTGCCTTGTCCTCTTTCATGGCTGCTATTCATTAATTAGATTCTTTGTGCAACTGAGCTATCCTCAATGTTTAAGGTTACATCAGGCCCCAGTAAGTGGCTGCCTGATAACAGAATGCATCCATCTTCATTACTCAGCCCTTTCTGTCGAGGCTTGCTCCTCCACAAGTGAGCTATGTCAGTAGGTTCTAAGGAACTGATACATTTCATTGCATTCAGATCCTGAACTTTTGCCTCCTTTGATTTTGGTCGCTCTGATTAAATTACCGGCTTGTGGTTTCCACTCATATCAGGTTCTTTCGTGGTGATTTTTCCTGCTTGAGGTGGAGCAGTGTTGCAGCCAAATGAAACCCCCTTTGTTTTGGTTTTTAGACTCTCTTAATGAATGCAAAGCAAGGATCGCTGGATAAATATTAAAGCCAAGTAATTTGTAAATCCTGCGGTGTTGTCACATTCCATCAGTCCTGTTCTACTGGAGAAATGGTTGGAAATGAGCCATTATTGTTGTCAACAGTGTCGCGCAAGTCAGTAAGATTAGTTCCTTTTAATTAATCCAGCCAATTAAACAACAACATTTAAACTAATTCTCACTCGAGATCAGGGTCACAGTCAGGTCATCACATCCAAATTCAATTCATTTGGAGCACAGCAGCTAATAATTCAGAAACGATTAGATTTGAAATTTAATTTCTTTCAAATTAATTATCAAATGAATTTCAAAGCTAATGTTAAATCTTTTTGCATTTAGTTCCATCATGCAAACCAGTTTCCGCTGATATAAAGACCACGAGAAAGAAAGATCAAAAAAACAACAACACTGTAAAGCTTATTCTGTCCTTTTTGCCAAAGCCAGCCCAGACATTCAGATAAATGTCTGCACAAACCAAAACACGTGTTTTCAATCTTGGAGGAAACATGAATAGACTCAACTCCCAAGGTAACAACAGAGCGAATGTGTTGCACAGTGAAGGCTTTCTTTTGTTATTTAGGGAATGGAACTGGATAACACAGGCTATTAAAAACTGAACTAAATGTGGTGGTCAGTCCTCAAGGTTTGGGCCACTGAAAGCAATTGAACGCATTTTGGTGACAATCCTGAAAAGGCAGATTTAAATGAAGCTGTTAACGTCGCATCCATCAGCGGAACCTCAGCTTTTAGTCATATCAAGGCCGAGCCAGTCTGAATCAGGTTAAAAGCAGCTCAGTATGTTTTTTGTATTCCCTCAGCCAAATTAATTATCTGTGAAGAAGCCAAGACAGACCATCACATCTGTCTTGTCTCCACGTGACTCTGCATGCAATGAAAGCAGGTTTTGAGTATTTTGGAGACCAGTGGAAGAAAAGGAGGAACAACAGTCCATCTATTTGCAGACGGAAACCATGATTAAAGACACCACTGTATGAAGATATGCATCACAGGTCTGGCAGTCCTACAGTCCCCCTTTTTGGTGAGGTCTTATCAGAAAGTACATTTGCTCTGCACCTAATCTTAAATTCAAATGGTAATCCAAACACTAGACTGCTATAACTTAAAAAGTCAACAAGCAATACATTAACTACTGGTTTAAAAAAAAAATCACAGTCTGTTATTTACATCCTGATGTTTTATGACTATGACCTTTAAACACTATACCAATCAATCAATACTGGAGGGAAGCAGCCTATTGGGAATATTTAGATCCACAGATTCTGAAAGTAGGGCACTATTTATCCAAACACAATCATTATTAATAGCTGGACAGTCAACCCAAATACATTTTCTGCATATTTTCCACATTAGCCCTTCTCCCTCCAGAAGCACACATACACATTGTCCAGTGAGGAGATAATTAATGAACCACAGCTGTCACGTTGATACACCAAAGGGGACAAAGAGACAAATACAATATTATCCTCATAAAGTCACGGTCAGAATGTTTGACCCGTCACTTAATGACTGTAACACTCTTTGTGATATAATATCTGATATGACACCAACAATAATGTAATGCTCAGGGAGGAACAAACTGCTACAGAAAAATGTAATTAGAAGGCATACCATAGTCACATCAAAGACTGTATAATTTTCAATTTCGTCTTCTTTGTTACTTATGCTATGCCTGTCAAGCTTCATAACAATGGCAGATTTATCACTTGAAGTTTAAACACAACAATGCGTCCTTGATTCGAGACAGAAGTAGACAAAAGCAGGCTGCTAGCAGAGTCCATGAACTGTAGCGCGCTAACTAATAATGATAACTTTGTGAGTGGAGTAGACGTTTAATGTCTGGCCAGACTTTTTGGGTTTTTATTTAACTGTTAAGACCCCTGGAATAATATGCGAAACATGCTTTTGACATCCAGCACATGGTATCACACAAACCACAGACTTTATATAAAAGAGGGATGTATTCCCTGAAAAATGAACACAGAAGTGCCTCAAATGTGCATTCTTTCTGAGGCCATGTTTACACATAGCCGGGTATTTTAAAACACGGATCTACGTTTTCAAAAATAACATTGTTCACACCAGATCATTTTCAAAAAAATCTTCATTTACACAAAGCCGCATAAACACTTCGTTAAGAGCTGCTATGAGCTGGCAGACCTATAGGGGGCAGTGTAACGAGAAGCATGAAGCCATGCTAGCCAATCAGAATCCTGGAAAAAACACAACAACGAATGGCACGAATTACTTCCTGCTACTTCAGTGATAATGGCGCGAGGGTCGTTTGTTTGGACCGACAAAGAAGCGTCTGCACAAACGTAAAAACAAGCGCTACTTTAACAGCATCCATTTCTATCACAGTAGCCAAACTGTAAACATGGTCGTACTCATATGACGCTGATGACGTTTTTGTCGCACACTGACGTCAAACTCCGTCTCCTCCTGTCTACCTGCAAACATAAAGACAGAGTTTTTCCAAATCTCCACTTTGGCCGGAGTTTTCAGATGTGATCGTTTTCGGTGACTTGTAGCTTCATTTACGTGTAAACCAAAAGCCCAGACGCATTGAAATATCAGCGTTTTTGCTACATGTAAATGAGGCCTAACAGCCAGCAGGGGGAGACTCCTCTGGTT